GTACAGTTGCAACAAGAACACTGCACCGCGAAACAGATAGGTATTCAAAAACTCACAATTCTCAATAAAGAAGTAAATTTTGCGGCGCGCAACATTTTGTCTTCTGAGAGAACGACGAGAAAGTAAAATGGGGGGGGGGGGAATCTCAAATTTGAGAGACACAAAACCGAGCTGAATGCATACTGAATTCACCCGAGGCATCTAATGCATCCGCTTGTACGTGAACGCGTGCATTCACGTGCAAATTGCATTATGATACCTGTCGTGAATTGTGTATTGAATTAATACTACGATATTATTTGGCGGTTTTGTTCCTTCATTGACTTTAATGAAATAACATCAAATTTGGTTGACCGTGTCTGGCAATTATTAATTGTTTAAGAATCGCTGCGTTTCGACCATCGGTTTTGGTCCTTTTCAAGCGATCTGACTATACGAAATAAAAGATTTACAAATTATTACATAAAGTATATAACCAAGTCACAGAGAGTGATTGTTCACTTGTTTCCTGATATCATTCGAATGTTCTTTCATTGTAGTTTTTAGATGTCGTTTGGTCTGTCCAACATATGAGGCGTAACAATTTCTGCAGTCAACTTTATAAACGACTTTAATGAAATAATTAACGATGAAATATGTGTTGCGCACGTGCAAATAAATGTAATTGGGAGGCTTTACCGTGCACTTGTGTATCGAAAATAACTTTTCCGGGGGAAATTGAAAATTCCAAGTTCCTCCGTCGGACGTCACCTAAAATGTAGACGTTACGACGCTCAATGCATCGCCGGGGCGCGAAACTCGCGGGAAAAACTTGGCACTCTTGCCGGGAGCGCGCGGCGAGGCCTTTTTGCGGGCCGTCGCGTAGATTCACATTTTCGGCAATAAATAAACCCCTATGACTGTTCTTCGCAGATATTATACCTGAGCGCGCTACGGTTCTAATTTTGCGGAGGCGCTAGTTGACTTAACCGCGCCGTGGTGCGAAAACAAAGTCGAGAAATTAAAAATTTAACAAGTAAAAACCATCACCTTAAAAAATAATCTTTTTTTTTTAAAAAAAAAGGTAAAAACGCCAAGTATAAGCGCCATCCAATCAAGAATTGTATAATTTAATTATTTGGATATATTTTGTTAGAAAAGAAACATATTATTTTCTCTACAAAAGTAATGATATCATTAAATTGCGCCAACTAAAATTGATGTTTATACAAACTGGATACTTTATTATCCAAACAATCGAGCATAAGATTTTACCGAAAGAAATAACGGAGACAATAATATTAATGAGACAAATTTCTAATACTTATTCGATAGAAGTATAATGCAAGCACCTTTAATACAAACAAACATTTCATTAAAAGATGGTCTTTTCTAATTCAATTGTTGATTCCAAGTGAAGACAATGCCGTTTCGGAGCCGGTGCAAACGCCGCTTTGTCAAAAAAAGCGATCGAGATGAAAAGGCGATCCATAATAATAAACCATAAATTACGTTCGCGTGACGGGGACGGAGACGGAAACGCAAATGAATTATATTCGAGTTTCGTTAGTGCCATTAACGCTATTCCTGGAGGATGTCGGCTGCTGCATTATGTCAAAACTGTGCATAGTGTAAATGCAGCTTGCCAGCGTGCTCAAGGAGAATTTCGAACGCGAATGTAAGTGGAGCGCGAAACGACAAATGGATTATAAATGAGGCTGATCCGGATGGACACGCGGACATTTTTATAGCTTCGGCTCCGAGGCGGATGAGAAAACCGATTCGCCGGCGAATATTTTGCGAGCCGATATATCGCAGAACGCGCTTCCCGCATGCCCGAGCGAACCTTTATGATATCAAACGGTAATTTTCGGTCTCCAATTCTATCTCGCGCTCCGCTCCAGCGCGCGGCACAGCCCTTATCTCCGTTTGTGACAATGTCAAACGAGCGCAATCGCGATTACGGAATAAGAATTTTTAACGCAATCGCAAAAGCACAATCGCGTAATCTCCGCGCGTCGGAAGGGGTCGGGGGCGAGCGAGCGTGTATTTTCTGAATTTAATAACCGCGCGCGGGGCGGCTCTCGCGGTGATTCAAACGCGGGCGTTCGCCCGTCGATCGCATAAGCACCGCGAAAAGCACTCGGCGCAATCTCAAATTTAATAATTTCATTTCGCGGCTCATCCTACGCGGAACAAATTGCCGCATGTCAATCGGGTTTGTTACGGCGTCAGATTAAATCTGACCGGGGGAGGAATGTCGCGCGGCGTGCACGCGTTATTGCCGCATAAAATCGAGGCGAAATTCCATTTCCATTTCCGCGGCGAAGGCGCGGGCGACGCGCGGCCGGTCCCGCATAAAACGATCGCTCCAGGAGGACACGCGTGTTACGCGTACAATGGCGTCGACGCGGCGCGGCGCGGCGGGTGTCCCGTGCGCGTGTAACTCGGACAGAGATCGAACCGAGCCGATAACCGTAACTTCTCGCGTCGTCGCTCGCGAGTCCCGCGTGCGTGATAGAGAGGAAAAAAAGAACGAAACGCGGACACGGTGTTTCATCATCGTAAAAATTCGTCGCTGCGCCGCTCGCGATACCGCGCGGAAAAGTAAACGGCTAAAGGCGCGCACGCTCGCCCCTGCCGCGGATCGGCCGATCTGTCACGCGGGCCACGTTGTATCGCGACGGATATTAGAGGCGGAAGTTGATAGAACGAAGGCGTGTGACGGCCTTGCGAATGCAATGGGACATCAATTGATCGCGTTCTCACGCGAGAGTAAGGCCCGGTCTATGATGGGGCAGAAGTCAATATAGTCGGAAATCATAAGCCGTAAGTGTAATCTTATGATTGCCGCGCTCCGACTTGTGAGTATCCTATAAGGGCCTGAGCAAAATGCCTGTCTTGTATTCTTAAGTCACAAGACAGTTATTTCGCGCGTTACTTTAAGGACCTGAGTTAAATCTTTGTCTTAAAGTAACGCACAATAACTGTCTTATGACTTAAGAAGACAAGACAGCCATTCTGCTCAGGCCCTAACAAGCTTATAACTCGCTTATGTCTTCTGACTACTGACTTCTGTCTCATTGTAGGCCGCGCTTAAGGCTGCGCGCGCGATTAGACGTCGCACGTAAAGCTCAAAGGAGCGCTTCGTCGTCGGCGCCCTGTCGCGTATCGCAATTTCAAATCGACGCGTGTCGCACGGAGGCGGAGGGCGCGTGTTATATCGCTAATATCGTGCGCGCACGTTCAATTCGCGTCGTCGCGTACGCGACCATCGCCGTCTCGCAGCCCCGAGGTGGCAGAGCCGCGACTGACGGGGACGCAATAGAGCGTGCGATCGTTATGGGGGCACCGAAGGGGGCTCGCAAGTCGAAACGAGTGATCGTTATCGACGCCTCCTATCGCTGCCGACTGGTTAGGCGGGCGCGCATTGCAACGCGACACGCCGCGGTCCTCCGTTTGAAAATGCGCATCTCGGAAAAATCACGGCAGAGGTTTCCTGTATAACTAGTATGCCCACTTTGTCATTCGTTTTTTTTGCGCCGATCCCTTCTGCGCATCCGCCATTATTTTGGTGAAGCCAATGAGACGGATGTTGTATATGTGGTGGTGCGAAATCAGCGTGGCAGAATTTTATACCAAAAACATGGCGGAATACCACGTGATCGAAACAGAAAGGATCGAAGGACCGACAGAGAGTGGGCACACTAGTTGTACTGTGCTGTAACCGGAAAGACATCTCGGAGAGACGAGACCTCGCGGAAGCTCCGCACACGGCTGCGACGCGTGACGATGTAGAATGAGCCCATTCGACTCTCACGATATTCCCCGACCGATGGGCAGATTAATCTCGATGTAACTTTCTGGATAACGCACGTCTGTGTGGCACTAATTTTACTATTCAAAATATTATTTTACCTTGAGTGCATTGTTTAAAATAATTTTAGCGTGTATAATATTACGGGCAACACAATGGCCGCCTCGTCTATCTCCGTGGTATAACGTACATTTCGAAACTTGCGCGATACAGCGCGGAAGTTAACTCGTGATCTCTGTTATTTCGCATAGAGTCAAGTTTTTGTGCGCTTTAGCGAGGAAAAAACGGAGAGGGAACACTCGAAGAAAGGAACACAATGAACTTTCTGCCGGCCTTCCGGCAATATTTAGCAGTATTTAGCGTACTGGTCGCGGGAGCACGGAAGAAACGCTGAATTGCGCTATTATGCGCGCGAAGACACATTTCGCGAATTTCAATGCGCTTATTTTATCGCGAGATAGGCAGGAGGCGAGTTTGGATATGAATGGGGCGCTTTCTTCCTTCGTCAAATAATAGTTAAACGTTGTGAAGGTACGTCCCTCTCTCCGCTCCAAGATTCGTTTCAATGTCGCTCTCAGGTTGTTTAGCTTATATGCTAATGCGATCCTGTGACAGAGCCCACCCACAATGGAACGCTCTTTCTTGTCGTCGTCACTCTATTGTTTCGCGCGGAGGGCTTCCGGGAATTAAAGTTATCCGACGCCGGCCGTTATCGTGAGCGCGTTCGAGAGTGATACATGTGCGTTTTGACGTACACGTGGCCGCGTGTGCGACGCGACCGCGCTAGGTGCACAATAGGCTCGCGTTATGCAAATGGAATCAATTTGCTAGGCCGAGGGTGTCACTTTGCGGGGCGCGACCCCTCTCTCTCTCTCTCTCTCTCTCTCTGCCCTCCCCATCCCCAGGCGAGGATCCCGAGTAGCCGCCCATTGTATCTTACTGCATTTTAGCCAGTGCCTCGTCGCCGGCGAAACAAGTTTACCGGACGATAGGGGAAGAGGAAGCCGCCGCGGCGTGATTTAATATCGTAAAACAGACCGTAACACCCCGCAGAATCCCACTTCGGTTTTCACGAGTGGTAGGGGGACCCCTGCCGCGTTGTTCCCTTCGGGTCGCACCGCCGTCGAACTGCTCGACTCCCTCGCGAAACGGAGCTCTCTCTCTCTCTCTCTTTCTCTCTCCCTCTCTTCCGCGCATCTCTCACCTCCTCTGTTCGCCTGGTCACGTGCCGACTGCTGCTGCATCTATGCCGTGCTCGCATCTATGCGAGTCTCGAACGTCGCATATTGTATCTACCACGTATGCATATATAGATTGTAGTCAGTGTGCCTCAAGATGCATAAGCGTAGACATTGGAGAATTATGGCCGATTTATAGACCACGCTTGATCTTGAACGTAAAATACCGCCGCGGTCCTCGCTAACGCCGCGAACTAGGACAATAAACGCGAAATATTTTTTCTTGCCTTCGGTCAAAATAGCTTTAATTGTAAAATAAAATTGTGCCAAATTATAAGCTACGTACCGTGTATTTCTCATATCGAAGGTTTATTGATATGTAGCTGTGCATATCAACTCTGTGTCTCTCTCTCTCTTACTCGTTCAAAAATTCAGTTTAATTACTTCAAAAATATATATTTCAAATATTCACCTGGAGATACATTCGCCGAAATATAAATTTTCCACATTCGCGCTTGCGTTGTAATCGGAATGATAGTTTACTTCGTCTCTCTGTATTAAATATAGCAGAAATTATAAAAGCTTGCATGCGGCCGTGGAATTTATTTTTGCGAAATTAATTTGCGAATTCCCGCGGACACAGAGCGTACGCGATGTTAAAGATTAACAGAGCAATGTAAATTAATTGTTGCAGCATAAAACCCTGCCGGGCTTTATTGACACAGAGGCGATTCGTGACTTTTCATTTCTCGCGGGCCTTTCGGGGCGACACCGCGTGTGCCGACCAAAGGGGTAACCACTGGCTAAAATGTCGTCCCGCCGATTACACGATTTCATACGATTTCGTCCGATTACAAATAATCTCATTCAATTGCAACTAATTTTCTTATATGCACGTTTAAAAATACGTAACGTTGTTAAACCTCAAAGAGCCGTTGGATTTCCTCCAAATATATTTTTCTTATTTCACTAACAAGTATTTGCTTGCAGAGGTAATTTTAGTTGAAATTGTAGTACTCGGTCACGTGTCTCCTTGCTTCCCACTTTTCCCAAGAGAAGTAAATTTTTTTTTTTGGAAAATGAAAACAAGCTGAGAAAATGATCAAATTTCATGTTTGTTAACATCAGAGAATTTCATTGACCGTATCTGGCAATTTTAATAATACAGAAAATTTATTGCGAAAAATATTACCTCGGCCAGGGTTCGAACCTGGACTTCCCTACACTCTAAGGCGGGCGTCTCAACTAATTCGACCGTCGAGGCACATTGTTCGGGTTCAAACCCTGGCTGAGGTAATACCTTTCGCAATAAATTTTCTGTATTATTAAAATTACCAGATACGGTCAATAAAAATCTCCGACGTTGGTAATTACTGCTTGCGACTTTTAGAAATATTCTTATTAGTTATAAATGTTTATACGTTGTCTAACGAGTGAGAAAACGTGAAAATTAGGACAAGACGATTACACCGGGATTTCATAATGATTTCGGTGACACTGTCCCACGATTACATCAAGTGGTTACCCCCTTGGTGCCGACGCTCATGCACGTTCGCGAACGCGGGAAACCGGACGGCTGCGGGATGAAACAACCGGTCAATATCGTAACATAAATTTCATTTCGATCGACGTAGGGGCTCGGCATGATCCTACCCCCCCCCCCTCCTCCCTCCTACCAGCCCAGCCTTTATCGCCACCCCACGTTTTCGCGCACCGCGTGCACCCTTAGGATCCATAACCGTCCTCACATTTTTCCGATTCCGATTACGCCATTGACAAATACTACGTGCCAGCAATAACCACGTAACAATGCTGCGATCCGTGTAATTATGTACGTTGGCATGAATGCTGTAAAATCGATAATTTACCGCGGAATGGCGGCATAATTTATACGCGTTATTCCAACGTAAACGAGCCGGAATAATAAAGAGAGAAATGCAAAGGAGGGGTAATAACGGTTTGCGCAATAAAGGGGATTTCGCGCTGGGATATATCTATAATTCAATTAAAAACCAATTGAAAACGTACAATTAAAAAGCAATAACCTTTGATTCAATAATCCCCATAATAAAGTAATAATCCCCATCTTACAATCGGCGGAGGGGAGCATTTTTGTGCCCCGAAAATGCGCAGGCAAAGGTCCAGGTTATTGGGATTGACAAACGGCATCGGGGATATCGGAAAGTAATATCGTTTTGTGTGCAATATGGCGGTACAATTTTGAGACCTCGGGGCGCAAACAATCGCGCGGCGGACGCAGTTATTGTGTGTCCGGCCTGACCTACGCATCTTTTCAAACGCATCCTGCTCCTTTCAGAAGTGAAATCCTCCACGCCATGTGGCACCCCGCCGCGAAATAACCCCCCCCCCCAAAAAAAACATCGTTGATCTCGCACGGTTCTCCATCCCCTCGGACCCTCGCCCTCTTCCACCCGTCGGAGCACTTTCTTCGGAGCGAACGGTTCACGTCCGCAACTGTTGTTCGGACCGTCGCTTCTATACTTCCCCGCCCGTCGGGCTTCATTCGAGTCGGCATTGAAAAGCTAACGCACAGGTGGAGAAAAGCTACAAACGATTACCGCGATTATACTTGTCGAGCGTATAATAAATTCACCGCCCGGCTTCGCTCTCGGCAATAATCTTCCCTGGCATCCCCCTAATATATCGACACACGTATCGGCGAAGATTGTCCCCGACTCGGCGCGAGATTGTCAACATCGTCTGGAACCACGTAACGTTAACAGTAATTTGCTTAGAGAGTTGAAACGCACGGATTTACATATAGACACGCCGACGCGCGTATCTAATAGCAAATTCGGTTGCTTGCACTAGTGCGTACCGAGTGCACACCAAGGCCAGTTTACGGTCAATTTTTATACTTAACTTTGTCTTAAATGCACGTTCAAAGCGATTTAGCCAGAAAACACAATCCGTATGGATGCTATACAGATCGTTTTACTGGCTACGAAATATTTCAAGAATATTTAAGACGCTTCGGAAATATAAGAATTGACTGTAAACAAGCCTTAGTGCGCACTCAGTGCGCACCAGTGCAAGCAACCGAATTCGCTATAAGAAAGGTCGGTCGCCGATAATGCACGCTAACGTATGTACGTCCTCATATCGCCCTGCAGAATTCCGCGTCATTGCGACTTCTATGTCCTCATATTTACGAGCGCACTCAGCGTGTTTATGATAATCGTAAAATTTCTCCCGGGCGTCGTCGGGGGGTCGTTTTTGTTTCCGCGGCGGCTTGTATGTACGTTAATGTAAAAATAGTTGCGCGCGCGAAACGAGCGCGATGGTGTAGCGTTGCTTGCTCCGTATAAAATTATGCGGATCCCGCGGCTGTGCTGACTAGAAGACACGCGGCGTAAGGGAGCTTTTTAGCCCGTCGACCCCCATCCGGGGTAATTTCTCGACGCTGTTCGGAAGTTAATTCTTTCGCATGCAACGGCAGCTTGTTTTCTCGCTCGTTACGACCGCCGCGCATTTTGCACGCGCCAAGAGCGATCGCCAGTTATATCTGACGAGCGAGTCATTTGCAAACTTGGACGCCGTCATTGAATAAAATACATAAAACTGTAACGCGCTCCTCTCGTCCGAATTAAATTAAGAAGTATTGAGTTAACGACATTACGGGAAAACTGGATACACGTTAATGGAATGTAAAAGGATTATCGGCAAAATAATACGTGAGGTGCAATCGCACGCGCGCACCACGGGACGGGTACAGCTGGTGACCCCCTTGACGGTCCCGCGACACACGGAGCAATTCATGGGGAAATGAAAATAAAACGGGGCTTAACGAACTGACCGGGCCGATCCAGGGCTACGGGCGCTGATCACTATTTGCATTCGAGCACTTCCGACAGGTAAGTACGATTGCCGGATCGAATGTTTCCGCGCGGGACAAATATTTTCCACCCGACGGTACAAAGGGCCAGTTTAGGGCAGCGGAGTCACCGGCGGTAACTTTCAAGCGAGGGTCCAACTATCAACACTATTGGACCAACCCTTTCAGTCTGCGCGGAGTTTATATCGAGCGATGCCTGCAATTCGTCCGTTTCAATCTCTCGAGGGCGTCCAGCACGCGGTCCATCTTCAAGACTGAAATCTCCCTGGCGAAATTACGCGGCACAAATCGTTTCAGCGGCTTCAGCAGCGTTTATCTTCAGATGAACCGCGGGGTGGATGGAAAATCGAGTATGCTCTTTTGTCATTGCCATCGTCAACGCTACTGATTTCTGAGATCATGTCGAACGCCAAACCGCGTAGCATTTTGAAAGGCCAAATGTCAACGCTTCATTAAATCTAGGGCTCAGAACTGTTTTGCGCACCTAATACTTGCCCGCGCGACCACTGGAGCAACCGAGCGCCAGTCTAATACGAGGGATGTTCTCGCGCGGGACGGGCGAGAAGTTCGAAAGGGAAAATGAGACGATGTTCTTCCGGGCGATATGGTACCCGGGGGACTTACCCGAGGCTCACTGGACGCGTCTATAATCCAAGAGCGAGCGCGTCGCGCCACGCGATTGTCGGATGCGGGCGCTTTCGAGCGCGAAACGCCCGGCGATAAAACGACCGTCGAGGACGCGATTAGAGGAACGGCCGATAATTTCGCCGGCGGCGGCGGCGGCGGCGAGGGGACGAATGGATCGGGAGTATCGGCCGGCGATGAGAGCGAAGAAAACAGGCGAGGGTCGACGAATCCGCTCCGGCGCGCCTATTCGCCCTCGGTCGGCGTGGCGATGAAAAACAATTTCAATCTGGCGAAGTAGAAAGTTTCAGCAGAAACGCTCCTCGCCACTTCCACTCTCCCTATTACTGGCTTATTTTTCTCTCGTTTTCCCCGTCCGCGCCGTCGCCATACCTCGCCCGCTCGACCGCCGCGCTCGCATGCCTCCTCTCCGGCCCGACGTCCCATTTAGTTCGACCTACTGCGCAAACAATTCAAACGTCGCAACTACAGCGATATCAGAGGGACACGGCGCGCGGCGCTCGGAGGAGCCGGCGAGCGGAGAGAACAAACTCGGGGAAGGCGAGTCCGCAGGCCGGGCGCGGCG